AGCAGAGAGGCTTCTTAACATCTAATGGTCAACCAATTGCCCACACTGACCTCATATCTGACCTATTGAAAGCTATCCAATTGCCTTCATCCCTAGTAGTCATCCATTGTAGAACACACCAAAAAGATGACTCAAGGGTCACAAAAGGAAACCAATTTGCTGATGCCACAGCCAAATGGGTTGCCACCCAACCCCTGCAGGCATCCAACACCGTCCCCACCTTTCAGTTAGGACCAACAGTACAGTATCAGGATCTATTAGAACTAGGGAAGTAAAAACATGGGAAGAGAAATGTGAAGCAGTTTATGAGGAAGGCTTGTTATTAAAGGCTTCTTTCCAGAAGCTCTGCTTTGTTATTCAATTATTCTTCAAAGCGCTGATCGTTGCGTCCCGGTTGTAAGAATCCTCATCAAGGAGTATTTTCATCCCCACAGCATGCTGACTGACCACTGTTTTACTGCCCTATGGAGATTTAAATTCAGCAAGTGTGCTTTTTGGAGGATGTGCTCCTTGAGCATATGCAGAGCGCTAAAAGGAAATTGAATAAATAAGTAGCAGGTTTCTATCAAGCTACATCTTGGAAGATAAGAGAGAATGAGACAGGGAAATACAGAGATTAATTTTATTAATAGACCAGATGAAAGATAAATAAAACAGCTATGTATAAAGAACCTTCCTTTTATCTGCCTTCGCTATTTGCCATCGTGATCAAAAGGTTCGTGAGTGCAAAGGGATAACACAATATTCCTCTTTAGCACAAATCTTCCCACAAAGACCAGCGAGCCCCCTGTCTAAGATGCTTCAACAGAACCTGCACAAAACAGACCTTATGCTAAATGATTTCTGAGATCCATTCCAATATTGTGATTCCATGATCTCAAGTGTGCATTTGGCACCATCTCTCAAGCCAAATTATGGGAGAAATTGAAAGCTTCTTCAATCAACTGATGTCAGCTCTCCAAGGGAAACCAAACTTGGAAAGTCAACTACTTTTATTATAAGTTTACAGTAACAAAATTTTTCAAGTGTAAATGTGCCTCCCACGTTTCTCCTTTTATCTTCATGAGAACAAGAGAGGATCGTGTCTGAGATGTTTCTCAAATTATATTTCTGCCCTGGGCTGAGAGTTCTTTTATCTGACTATTGCCTTGGTTGCAGCTCTTCTTTAAGGTTACAGATAGTCCTCAATTTATGACTGTGAAGGAGCCTGGAATTTCCATCATAAGTCATGACAGTGTTAAGCTGAGGTATCCAGTGTAACCAACTTGATTTAATGACCTTTTCTGTGGCAGTTGTAAAATGAACATTGTGGTGGTGAACTGAATGTGGTGGTTGTAAAGTGAATGCTGTGGTCATTAATTGAGTTAGTGCATTCCTATGAGCATTTTCTGCAGGAAACTGACCAAAAAGGCTGGTTTACAGTAAAAAAAAAAAAGGCATAAATCATGTCATATAACTGTGGGATGCTGCAACCGACCATAAAGGCAAGTCAATTGCCACTGCTTCAAATTGAATCATGTGATTATTGAAGGGTGTACTGCCATCCAGAACTGGACCATAGTACCTTTTGGGGGGGGGGTCCATCATAATTTCGGTCACTAAGTGTGCATTGGAAGCAAAATATATATCCATCATTTTCTTGCATGCAACATAGAACTACAGTATTAGAATTTTTTTTCTAGCTTCCTATGGAGCTACGGGGCTTTGATGAGTGATCCTTGAAAAGGATATGCTCATACACACAACTTAGCTTAGAGGGAAAATAACCTGTTTGCATGACCTTAAGGCAGCTGTGTCATTTGCAGGAATCATGTGACTGTCCTTCAAAGCTGTGGTGTGATTTCAGGAAGGGGCACAGCTCTTTTCTTGTATTGCAGACAATGTGCTTTGGGTACATTTCCCACCTGTTCCAAATCACTTTTTTTAATTCAAAGTGCAATACAATTCTAGTGAGACCGCATTTCCAAAAACTGCTAAAGTGCTTACTTACTCTTTCCCCAAAACTACAAGAGTGGCTGTTTGGACATATCAGAACATTTATAAATTGCAGAAACACCATTAATGAGATGTCATTTACCATCCTCAAAGGTCTTTGCAGATGCACCAGATGATTAGCTCTATTTAAAATATGAGATTTCCTTCCTCATGCAGGAAGCAGATGTCATCTGGAAATCAAAGAAATATGTTTCTTCTTTCAGAAATTCTGAAATATTTATTTTGTGCACATTTCATGGGTGGATAAATCAGATAACAGTCATATACAGTCCAAATGATTGCAGATAGAACAGCCTTGTATGCTTCTTATACATGCAGTAGATCTGGACTAAGGGTCTCTTCCCACAAATTATTTATGGTGTCATTGGAACAACTTGGTAACCTCAGTGTTACCCCTGTCGTAATGATGTTTTCTTCTGGCCAGGCATTCATTTACAGAGCTTGGGCCTTCTATTTCTCATCCTGCAGCAATCTTTAAAACATTGCATATGCTGATCAGATGGTTCACTGTTATACCATTAGTTCTATCACCACAGCAAGGGCAAAGAGCCACTGTCACTTCAAATGCAGGTCCTCGTGGTGTTATATGTGATGTATTATAGTGGGAGCTGAATGTTTTAATCAGTGACATCAGTCAACAAAACCCCTGTAATGCAGGTGTCACCAGGTCACCAACCTTACTAGGTATGATGTTTCTCATCACATCAAGAAAAGGGTTTCCCTAGCCTTAAGAATCATAATTAATCATAATTTATGTAAACATTCACTTGCCTGTATTGATCTCAAGTAACCCTATATTGAAATATGTTTTTGAAGCAAGTCACTCAAGTAAAGCAGATGATAAATGAGCTTAATCAGGAAAAAAAACCCTCAGTCGAAACTTTCCATCTGTAGAATTAATAATACCAATATATATGGAGGGTGCCAGTTCTCTCATCCTTATTAATAACATTGCTTATTTATTAATAACATTGCTTACACCTGAGAATTCTGGAGTGTGACAATAGTATTACAATCTTCAAAAAAGGAGTTACAACCATGCCAGCAAACCGCAGCCCTGGATTAGCTGGAGATACAGGGCTACAAATTAAATTGGGCCTTGTAACAAAAGATTTCCCAGTCTCCAAGGGAGTCACAGAGATTCACACCTGCAAATACTTACGTTTTCTCACATTCTGCAGTTATGGATTAACTAGAAGGGGCCCATTTATTTATTTATTTTTATATTAGATTTAGAAGCTGCCTGACTTTACAATGGCACCCATAAAATGGGTAGAGCTTCAATTGCACTATCACATCTTGTCTTTTTTCTTACCCTGCTCTGCAGACACACGGAGGTTCTTAGTAAAAAACAACAACAACAACAAAACAAAACAAAACAAAAACTAGACTGTGTTCCAGGAAGGGAGTCATGAAGTACCCTGGACAATTGCTGACAAATCATAAGATGATGAAATCTTTATTTTTGTGTTCCAGAATAGATGAAAGTACTTTAGTAGTAAGTACTTTCATCTCAGTTTCTCTTTAAAAGTACAGGGGAATGCTTGAGTGTTGCTTACCTCTACCGGCTGAGTGAACCATCTTCACTGGGCTGGTCAAGTACCGCAGACCCGAAGGAAAGTTTCACACGTGCTCTTCCAGTTTAACAGGGAAACGGGTTCATTGCTCCATTATCTCTTGAGTTAAACGAGGTACTTACTACTACTTACTACTACTTTAGTAGTAAGTACTTTAATCTCGGTTTCTCTTTAAAAGTACAGGGGAATGCTTGAGTGTTGCTTACCTCTACCGGCTGAGTGAACCATCTTCACTGGGCTGGTCAAGTACCGCAGACCCGAAGGAAAGTTTCACACGTGCTGTTCCAGTTTAACAGGGAAACCGGTTCATTGCTCCATTATCTCTTGAGTTAAACGAGGTACAATCCCGTCGGGAAGAAGCTTCATTCTTCTGGCCTGACTTCGCCCGGGAGTCATCCATCCATCCATCCATCCATCCATCCATCCATCCATCCATTCATTCTCAGTTTCGGTAAAATGCAGCGACGTTTTTTCCAGCGGTCCTGGCGACGCGGTCTTAGCTGATTGCTTGGTGGAACCGCCGAGGACTTCTTTCCTTCCCAGGTGCTGAAGTCCGGCTAGTTTTTTTTTCTCGGTCCAAAAGAGAAACTCACAAGGTAGTCCTACTACCACACTCTCTCCGCTCCTCCCCGCCTCCGCTCTTTCTCTTTCTCCGTGACTTAGTACAGGGGTAGGCAACCTCGGCTCTTTTATGACTCATGGACTTCAACTCCCAGAATTCCTGAGTCAGCTATGCTGACTCAGGAATTCTGGGAGTTGAAGTCCATGAGTCATAAAAGAGCCGAGGTTGCCTACCCCTGACTTAGTACCACGTCGGCTTTCGGTTCCACCTAATCTCTGCCCTTCCCTTTTCGTCTTCCGTCCTGTCCCGACCCTCCCTTCGCCCCGTCCTGCCTTCTTCGACGCAGCTCTTCCCCGAGCGCCGCGGAGCTTCGTTCGGCAGCCCCCAGCTTGCCTGACCGCTCAGCGCTGGATCCCGGGGTGGCCGGCGTCTCCGGAGCGCAAGACGTCCCGAAGGTCGGAGTCCCCGACCGTGGAGTTATTCTGCATCTCTCCCTCTCTTCGTTCCTCCCTTGCTCCACCTCGGGATGCTTGCAATCTTTCGACGGAGAAAAGGGAATCCCTTCGCAGAGTTTCCAAACTGCCACCAGCCCATCTTCCGAAGCCTCGTCACTTTCTTTCCGCTGGCAAAATCCTTTCTAATCCCGCATCCACTCCCAGGTCTGCTCTTCTAAAGTCCCTCCACTGTTGACGTCCCATTTTCCTTTGGTCTTCTTCCAGGTATTCCCTCTCCCGATGGTTTCCTTTGAGACATTCCTCAATTCCATCCTGCACCCACTCAGGTAAACTGTTCCTCTCTCTTATCTGCCTTACAGAAGATCCATTCCCCACTTCCTCTCTTCTCCTCCAAGGCTCAATATAGACAGGATGAAAGAAGTTGAGAATCGAGTCAACTCCACTGACAACTCCACGTTTGACATCGATGTTCTGTGCCCAGTTAATATAGATTTCACCGAATGGTTCCTGCCCGCTTTCTACCTCGTTCTCTCTCTCTTGGGGCTTTTGGGGAATACACTGGGCTTGTGGACCTTATGCAGAAGTTCACGGAGGAACAACTGGAATCCCTTCAATGTGCTATTGTGTAACTTAGCAATTGCAGACTTGTTTTATGTGATTACACTGCCCTTCTTTGTGTCCTACTATCTTCGTGGACATGTATGGCTCTTTGGCCAAAGCTGGTGCAAACTAACTCGACTTTTCTTCCATGTCAACCTTTATGCCAGCATTAGCTTTCTGACCTGCATCAGTGTTCATCGTTATCTGCACATTGTGCATCCAATGAAGATGATAGGAAGATGTCAAACACTTGGCTCTTCTGTCTTTCTGAGTGTTTTGGTCTGGGTCTGGGTCACAATTCAACTTTCTCCTGATTTAACTTTTAGCAAAATGGATCTCAAGCCTCAGAAGTGCCATGACTCAACCACACACAAAAACCTGGAGCCTTATTTGTTATACTTTCAGATTTTAACAGTGACTGGCTTTGCTATTCCTTTCTTCATTGTCACAGGATGCTATTGTCATGTGGTCATTGTCCTCAGGAGGAACAAAAACATGGATCCTAACCTCAAGCAGAAGAGCATCAAATTGGCAATTATGGTAACAATACTTTTCTATGTGTGTTTCCTCCCTTATCATATCTTTAGGAACCTTAACTTCTTGTCTCGGAGATGGCAACATCAGGGATTTTGCAATCAGACTTTAAAGAATATTTATATCTTCTACCAAGTGACTCGAGTCTTGGCTAGCCTGAATAGTGTCCTGAACCCTTTGTTATACTTGCTGGCCCGTGAGGATTTAGGGGCGCAGCTGAGGAAATTTGGTAGAAGCATCAGATTGAGTCTGAAGACTTCTTTCCAGGACAAAATCCAACATTTGGAATTAAGGCAATCAAATATTATGCTTGATAAAGAATGTGAAGAGACACTATCTAGCGAGCTCTGAATGATTGTTTTGAAGGAACATACCATAAATGCCTACTGTCTGAATGCTCCTCCCTCTTTTCCAACATTCCTATCATTTGATGGATACAGGTATTAATGTTTTTAATAGTTTGAAAATTGAGTTTGGAGCACAAATTAGAAGCACTATGCAAACGTGCAGAAGATGTAGAGTGAGAATGAATAGAACACTGTGGGATAGGGCTGTGCAAGATAAACAACTACATTTATGGGCCTTGTGGTTTTATTATTTGCCTGAATTAATCTTTAACTCTGATGCATAGCCCTGCCCTTATTACTTTATTGTATATGTATTTTCTACGGAGGTCCTCTGAAGAGACTGGAATTTTTAAAAGTTGCTGGATTCAAAACATCATATACATTACGTATAATAGTATTCTTTTTTCTCTGTGTGTTTATAGTGGCAGTGGGAGACCAATTTATTCACTTGCCATTAATGTATATCTATATAGCTATAGCTATTGCTACCTAGCTGGCTAGTTAGCATTTCAAATGAAATGTGAAATGTCTCTTTTTCCTTACTGGGGGCAGGTAGCCAGTGAAAAGTGCATTAGTTCAAGTTCTGCAAAACTTTTTTAAAACTTTTAAAAACCCCTTTAGGCTGGGAGTGATGTATTTTGGTATCTGATGGCTTATATAAGATTGTATAAAATGGCTTATATAAAAAAGCTAGAAATGTATGGGTGCATTTTGAAAGGCTACATCATGGTATATTGCACAAAATCATAATGCATAAATATTATCTTTTAATATATACACACACTCACAAATCCATATATTATATGAATACGTGACTATACTAGCTAGGGTATTTGGAGGAACAAACTTCTGCATATGTAACTTTCACTCTTTAACCACAAGTATTTTAGTATACATTACTTTGTTCCATGATTAATAGTTTCTTTTCTTTTAATCCCATCTTAAACTGTGTACCAAGGTGGGGATGGAGGAAAATATAAGGTACAAAGCCAGAACAGAATAGTTTATGTTATCTTTAAAAAAAATCTAAAATTGATTTGCTTGAGATAGATAGATAGATAGATAGATAGATAGATAGATAGATAGATAGATAGATAGATAGATAGATAGATAGATAGTAGACAGACAGACAGACAGACAGAGGATAGAAAGAAAAAAAATGTGACTATCCTGTCATTCATTTTAATGAATATAACTTTTTGATGTAATATTTAGCTGTTTTATCTTTTTTCTTGTTTTGTACATTGCCTAGAGTTGGGCAGCTAGTAATTATAAATACACAGACACATAAACAAACAAACAAGCAAACAAACAAAGGGTGCTATACTAAAAAAAATCTTGGACAGCAGTTAGAAAATCTGTGCATTGACAAAAATTCCATCTGTTAATTGTAAAAGGCTACACTGCTTGGATCTGCATATGTACTATGCGGATACATTATGATATTCTAGCTTCTGGGGAAGAACTTGATGTGTATAAAGGCCAACAACAGCTAAAGAACTGTCAGCTGCAACTTCACATTATTATGAATAGATAATAACAACAATTCAAGTTGATGTGACTAGAAGAATTAAATCTGACTTACATTTAACTTTTCACTGGGCAAAATAGAAAGGCTGTTCTCTTTTTTTTGCTCCTTTCGGAGAGTTGAGAAATCTAGGGATCCAAATTTAAATATGACAGTCAGTTTAGACAAAGAATCATAAAACATAATTTAGTCACAGAATGAAAGTTTGGAAAATGATTAATACAAAAGCAGGTTTTCTATCTGAGTTAGTGTTTCTCAACCGTGGAAACTTTAAGATGTGTGGACTTCAATTCCTAGAATTCTGAGAGCATGAGAGTTGCCAAAGTTGAGAAACACAGATCTAGATTAATGTATATAAATATATAAATAGCATGGGAGTTTATGGGATCGGTGGGTAGGAGTATATGATAAAATATGTGTTATGATGTCATTGCTCAAATGACACAAATTTCATAATTAACATTATTTTGTGATGATGTCATGATGCATATAATTCATCACCACTTCTACATATTAGGTGAGGGTTTGGACAGAGGGAGCTATAGAAGCATTACAAGACTGCTTTGAGTGCACAGATTGGGGCATGTTTAAGGAAGCAGCTACTGATAACCAACATACAAATGTAGAGGAATACGCCACCACGGTTTCTGCATATATCCAAAAGTGCATAGACGGTGTCTGTGTCCTGAAAAGCATTGTTGTGAGGGCGAATGAAAAACCATAGCTGACTTATGAGGTCTGCAAGATGCTGAAAGCACAGAATGTGGCTTTTAAATCTGGTGACATGCTGGTGCTTAGAACAGCCAGAGCAAATCTGAAAAGTGCCATGAAAGGTGCAAAGCAAGCCCATTGCCAGATAATTCAGAACGTTTTTTGGGACCCAACAAACACCAGGCGAATGTGGAAAGGAATCCAGGTGACTCCATCGAGATGCAAGGACGACACAAACTTCCTAAACAAACTGAATATATTTTTTGGTAGATTTGAGGCATCAAATAGCACTCAGTAAAATGTTGGTTCTAATAAAACCAGTAAAGTGGAGAAAATACTGCAGATTCAACCCAATCCCCTTAGTTTCAGTAGCCTTTAGCACAGCTGCAGCTTCATGGAGGAGGGGTCAAAAAATCAAGGTCACATTCAATCCCATAATAGCAATCACCATAGTGACTTTTCCCCCCATCCTGACCCCTAGAACTCTGTATTAGCATTTGGTAATTAACACGATTGCCTTTAATTTCTAAATATGAAATATTGAATAAAATCTGGATTTCAACAACCAAGTCTGACAAATTGGATTAACTGTTTCAGAAAAATAATTTTTAATATTCCATACAACTTTATGGCACCTTCAAGTTTCATTGCCGTAAACATGGTTGGGGCTTGTGACATGTTGACTAAGTTGTCATATCACAACAAATGAAAATGAGGCTTGTAGCTTAACTCAGTTTGATCCTGGAAATCACTCTTTTGTTTTTCAGTGATATTAT